TAATGGAACAGCTAATAAACATTTAAGTATTTTTGGACATTAAATGCCAGAAACGATTAATTTTCAAACATTATTACAGATTTTCCAATCTAATTGTTTTTATTATTATAATGTACACGTATACATGCATACGTGTGAGGTTGAAAGCTATAATGCTATTAGAAGAATTGCATTTTGAATAATTCTTGTAATAAAATATTTAAAGTTTAAAAATGTTTAAATGTTCATTACTAGCTTGTCCCACTAATTATTTGGCACAGTTAAACAAAATTAAATTAAATTAAATTCCTCCTATCCCAAAAAGTAAGCATTTTGGACCTGTTCATATAAACTTTATTTGGTCCATAGGAATACATTCCTCGAATATTTGATACGTATTTATTTGCACCCTATATATACAAATATATATACATATGTATATACATATCTTTTATTTATCTATTTGACATATGTATATGTGTACACATATACACATGCACATGTATGTACGTATGTATGTATGTATTAATCTATAGTGAATATCTTCTATAATAGATGTATTAATGCATGTATGTTTTAAATTTAACTTATATTTTCTCCCGTTGTCATTCGTGTATTTAATTATTTTACACAGCGCACAATTTTTATCTAATAATCGCTTTGTTCAATATGTTAATTACGTACAATTAAATATAATTTTTATCTTAACAATTTGATTCTTTATTGTTTTTATTTCTCGATGGCATTCAGCGTAATTGTCCTAAAATAACGCGAATCGACCGATTAAACAAAACAAATTTCACTTAATGTAAGCACATTTCTGCAAGTATAAATGGATAATTAAAACTCGATTTATTTAAATCGAATATGAATGCTTTTTTAACGTTTATAAATATTTAATATTATGTGTTATTAAATAATTGTTCTCCGTTATGTGTGTAATATTATTTTAATCTAAATAAAAACGATTATTTAAGAAATATCGCATTCCTTAAGAAAATTATATCAGTTAAAATTTTCGTATTATGTGCAAATTATGTTCTACTCGTAAGTATATCACCTTCAATCAGAAAAAATAAATTTGAACACTTTCTAAAGAAAAATGACTGTGTGTGTGAAAAATGTGTGTGTGAGCGCGCGCGCGCGCGAGTGTGTAGAGGGTATAATTAAAATAAAGTGACAAACTCCAAGAAGCTCTATAATAATAAATAATAAATTAATAATAGTATCTCAGTAAAATAGTATGTTTACAGATGTATGTTTATACGAACTTTTTTCATAACATATATATATATGTATATAAGAGTAGCTTGTATATAAAGATAATACAAAAGCAACAAAATTATTTACATCACTTCTAGAAAACTTAATACAAGCAATTTGTTATTAACTCTAACAAATTAACTAGGTCTAATAAATAATGTTGCAGTAATAAATAATTAATTTTTTAAAATATGTAATTTTTTCCTCTCTCTTGAACATTTCTTGAGACACAGTAGTATTTTTTATTTGTGTCATTTTTCTTGCAGAAATATGATGTATGAACATATATACAGTCTCGCTCGAAAGTAACGTGTAGAAATATTTCAGTTGGCAACATTGGCAAATGGTTACAATAGAAAAATGGTTATTCTTCAAATTTTCGAAACATAAAGTTTATTTCATAGATAAGATATTAAAATAGATATATGATTTTTAACTTACTAATAAATTTCCTTTTTGCTTAAAAATTCTTTTATTTGAAAACCAAGAATTTTAATATCGACAAAATATTTTTAATCACTACTGTACATATATTATATAAACATAAATTTAAAAATCTATTAAATTTAATAAAACGATAACTGTAGTCAATAACATTTGCAAATCATTAGTGTATTTTCAAAATACTGATCATTAGCTATACAAAAGCAAACAAAATAGCCGTTAATTCCACATATTTTTCTCGCTCTCTTCGCAGTTAGCGCTTTCTCAAAACCCTGATGCATTCTACTGTCTCATCAAAATTCATGCCTCCATAATCCTGGCGTTTTGCGTAAAATAATTCAAACAACTTGAGAAAAGTATTCAAATAAACAAGAGCGAATTCATGGTAACATGGGTAACTTTTTTTCTCACATCCCCGACTTCGCAACAATCTTATACATTTTCGTAGGAACTGTCACCGGATTACCGTTTTCGTTATCCATGTTCTCTGAAACAGCATTATATCGATACCGAAATGATTTATTTATAAAAGAAAATTCTTCATACACGTTTACGTTCTTCTATCATGGAGAAGGAACTCTACAAGTCAATACTGCTCACGGTATCCTAGCGAGTGGTTAATTGAACGCGTCAATGCTTACGAAGGTGGTTCCATACTCACGTAAACAAGAGCTTTCTCACTCCAGCTTGAGACATGTAAAGCTCAACGCCCGAAATTGAGTTTAAGTATTATATGCGAAAGTGTATGACTATCATTATCATGATAATTGTCACAGTATTTTCAATAATTAATTTATTTGTAACGATAATACTGTTTTTCTATGATAAATAATATCACTTTATAATATAAAAAGCTTTAAGCATTAAAATTAAAAATTTGCAGTAGGTTTTCTACATTGTACTTACAAAAAGTTTGTCATAACTGTTCGCAACCGATTTGATTCTCCTTGAAATATATTGTTAAACACGAAAATTTAAGAGACGCGTATTTTTTTATATTGGTTCAATTTAGGAAATTTAAAGGTGAAACGATCTCTCAAAAGCTATATTTGATTCAAATTAATTGTTAACGAAACGAGAAATGAGATACATAGAAACATGTTTTAGACAAAACACACACACACACTTTTACAATTTTTTTATATACTTGATAACTGTGTATTTAGATATTTCAAAATCTATCTTTAAAAATACTCCTGCCCTATTAAGCTTTAAGGGATTTTTCTCCTCTCAAACTTCAAATTGAGCCACGATATAAAAGAATGTGTTTCTTAGATTTTTGTGTTTAACAAAGAAGAATCGAATTGGTCCCTGACAATTGCGACAGGTTCCTTGTAGTTAAATCTCTTGTAAAGATTATTATGCAATTATTTTTCATATAAAACTATTTATTACAATAAATTATAAAAAAATTGTAATATATAATAATTAAAATTTTTATTTCAATTTAAATGGAATTTTTAATTAGTTAAAATAGCATAAAATTGTATTAGTTAAATAATATTAAAGTATTCTCAAACACAAATTTGTAAATGTCAAAATTATTGAAATTAACTAAACCGTTAGAGAAGTATCAATTATATATTTGTATATAATTCCATTTCTACATAGTAATAATTAAAAGTAATGTTAAGCAAAAAATAAGTCTCATTAATGTTTATGATTAATATATAGGTAAATTTTTAAATTTTCTCCGTATAACGTTACTTATTAATAACAAATATACAAAAATATCAAAAATATCCTATAAGTGACATAACTATTAGATTTAATAAAGTCTCTATTACGGCAGATAACAATACTGACGACTAGCATCATTAATAATGATCGACCAGTGATGAGTAGCAAACAATACTTTCTCTTCATCAAAAAGTGACACAGATTGATGGTATCAAGAAATACAGTCGCGTCTTCTCAAACTGTCAAAAATTTCTTCTCTTGAACTCTTATATAACTTATCTATTTTTTCAGTTGTCAACTTATCAAATATCTTCCAAAAATATTTAATTCTGTCTATGACAATATCCTCAAACCCTTTTTAGAGAAAGATAGAAAAGTTTAAACGTAAGTCATATTTAAAGTTTGCGAACATTGACAAAATTTTACGAACGTTTTAATTCAAAATTTAATTCAAAACGTAAGCCAACAATGTAATTTTTAGACAGAAACTTCTTAAAAATTACTCTCCTTTTTATGGCGTTGAATTCATGAGAAATGAGTCTGATTAGTAAGACTCATTTACGCTTGTCTTTATGACGAATTTTCGCGGACCTCTTCGTGAACTTACCAGTCCACGAAGTTTCGTACGCAAGCGGTCCGATCGATTCTCACTTTAAGGGACGATTCACGTGCTCATTGTACCGACGAAGGGCGCGAATCCACGACGTTTATACAGGGTAATCCAAAATAGGTCGATCGTGCGATCTCTGGCGATTGGCCTAGGAACTGAACAAAATAGACCTATTGGTCGAAATTCAACTCACTAACACTGACGCTTATTTTTGCAGTCACTTCACAGAATCTGATCTTATATCTCACTTCACAAAGCTTCTCGCATCATCTAACAGATCCATCTATTTCCGACGACATATGAAATTCGCTTCAATGAATTCCAATATATAACTCCAACAACACACACTTAACTATTAACCACAACCGATGCTGAATGATTAAACATTTGCGTTATATCCGCCGTGTGAATTCTACATCCAATCTGCTCTTCGTTAAGAATAAATTCAAACTTTAATCCGATCGCTTCCGAACGTCCTTTCTCATTGACAAGATCGTCCGAAAAACCATGTGACGTTCTTTATGGCAACAATTTTCTTCGTTAACAAGATTGGTCATGCAAGAAATTTGTTCGTTCACACCGTTCCTCGAGCGTAAATTCTCCGCTGTCCAAAAGTGACACGCTTTGATCAAGTTTCCCTTAGCGCGGATGCCTGTTCCGCTTCGTCGATGTTCAAGCTCAAGAATAGCCACAACCCCGTAGCAAACTTTAACCGCAAGGTCTTTCGTCCGTTTTCATATTTCGGCGGATAGGTCTTGGCGTAAATCCTAGATGAGACATGCAATACGGCCACTACCCAACCTTGAGATTGCAGGTGTGTTGCGTTGCGATAGGATCGCCACGTTCGATGGTAGCCACGTGGTACACTTTGGTAGAAACGTGCTGCTGATCATGAGCGTCGATCACAGAGAGCTAAACACGGAATCGTCTTGACGCGGCACAAATCAGTCCGCAGGGGCCCGGGTTTCCGGCACGGCTACAGAATTCGAACTACATACCCGGCCAAACGACCGGTTTGATCAGTTCAACCCGCTGGTTCGAGGAAAGTTCGACGAAACCCCGGCGGACTCCCGGCGCTCGCACCAGAACGAACGACGCCCTGTTGTCGTGGCGGCACGGGGTGAACGCACGGCTTTGCGGACGACGATCCGCACCCTCCACCGCCCAGAAACTGCCTTCCCCCACTGCCACCACCACCACCGCCACCACCACCGCCGCCGCCGCCGCCGACGTCATCCACCTCCACACTGGCCCGCTCCCAACCTCCCTTTTCATCTACTACCACCACTATCAGCAACTCCAACGCCAGCAGAAGCTCGCTACGAGTATAGTGAGAATAGAGAAGTATGAAGATAGTGTTGGAAGTCGCGTCTGTGTGGAAAGATCCTTCGCCATGAACGCTGCGAATGTCTTTACACTAACAGCGAGTTCAACATGGACGAGCGAAGGGTATGTATGAGAGCCAAATGCTGTGAGAAATCATGAGGAGCGTTTGCGTATAGAAGAAACTTTTGGTATTACTATCATGAGCCAAAGGGTTTGCTGATATCGTTAGTATTTACAGCGTAAGCTCTAATAAGATACATTAGTAAAAGATTGTGTTATAAAAATATTTCTATTAATTTCGGCATAAGCTACAATTATCAAATCGCAATCTTAAGCAGTGGTATTATCCTAACGTCAATTTCTGCTGAAAATCATAGCTATTCAAGCTGTTACGTTATCAAGCTGTTTGGTGTCTCGTACCGATATCATGCAGGAAGTCCGATATCGACGTCACGCGAAACGTTGATGTATTATGAATATAGACAGAGATAGTCGCGTTGCTGCAAAATCATAGACCATCACCTACTCGATCAGCGATCGAGATCCACTGGTGTGCGTCACAGCGTACACGTTACTACTACTAACAGTCAATCATATCCACCGACGCCTTTGCAAATGTGGAGACGTCCACGAATGCTATGACATCCTCGCACATCTATATTAACATCGCCATCGGTATCCTTCTCGCTACGACGAATACAGCTGAGACACCGTCACACACTTCCTTTCACATACAGCATCAACAAGGACGTGGAGACTATATCCACATACGAACGTCCTTGTGTTAAAATCCTGCGTTTTCCTGCAGTGGTTCTCCTCGCGCAAGTCGGAATCTCTGTAACGGTTGACGAGGGTAACGCGGGGGTGAAATCGCGAGCGTTTCTCCGTCTTCCATTTTCCCTCTTTACTTCTCTCTTTCTCTCCCTCCCTCCCCCTCTTCTCTCCTTTCTCGCTCGCTCGCTGCTTCTCTTTCTGTCTCTTCCTCTCTTTCTTCGTTCATCCCTCCATCGCTGGCAGAATCTCGCTATAGTATTTATGAGGCGCCCCGACAGAGGCGCCACCATGGGGCTGTGTGGTCATGGCTGGAAGTTTTCGACGTCGATCGAATCCCCAATTGGGTGGGAGGCACGAGTACCAAGGATCACTTGGCCGTGCCGGGTGGCACAGGTGGAGGTTAAGAGGAAATACCGAACTTTCCACTAGCATACCACTCTTCACGGACACCCTCCACCTTTCTCCACTTCGCCCCCTTCCTCTGCCACTGATAACAGTGCTATGTTGCAACTACGCAAGCTTGTGAATGGTGACGAGGATGGACTGTTTGGAAAGGGTTTCGCGGTGTCTTCTGGCGATCGACCGAGGAAAAAGTCCTTAATGGTCATCCTAACCAGTGATCCGAAAAGTTCTTTCAACGTGCAGAAAAATCAGAGATTATAATGTATATACTTTAAGAGTTGTTGCGAAGTCAGCTAAATCATTTCTTATTTCCTTAAACGTGAAAAGTTAATTTCAACCAGTTTTAAAAATAATTGACGAAAGGGAGCTAAAACCAAGCTACTAATCAATAAAATTATATATATAATCTAACCGGTTATGTAGTACATTAGTATGTATGTACATGTAGTATAAGTATACAGGATGTTCCACGGAAAGGTGTTGAAACTAATCAGTTGTCATTTTCGTATGGTATGAATACGAAGGTATTCAATTATTGAAAAAACAAAAATTGCGCTGAAAAGAGGAAAGTCTGCAATTTTTAACGAGTATAAATAAAATTTAACAAAATGTTTGTGTATCAATTAATTTTATTGATGAAAAAAATTGCTCATAATCCCAAGGAGTAATTTTTTTGGGGTGTGCACCATCTGAATTTGTACAAAACACAATTTTTTTTACGAAAACTCGTAAAAATTTTTTCTAACATATCGTTTTTAATATTGCTAATAACATTTTAAATAGCTGCTATTAAATCTGAAACTGTTTTTCGATCTTATCTGCGATCTTAAATATTAATCTTAGCGTTTACTTGATTTTAGCATATTTTTCATCAATAAAATTAATTGATACACAAACATTTTGTTAAATTTTATTTATACTAAAAACTTTCCTCTTTTCAGCACAATTTTTGTTTTTTCAATAACTGAATATCTTCGAAAATGACAGCTGATTAGTTTCAACACCTTCCCGTGAGACATCCTGTATATACCTACATGTAGTATATATATATATATATGTATATCAGAATACATTGTTCATTATATTATGTTCTTCGATATATCTCAAAAGTGAATTATATCGATAAAATACTACCTCATTTAAAATGTTTAGAGACGTAAAGTTTATCAAAATTGTTGTAATTGCAAATTGCACGTACTTGCTGGAAAACAAAAGCAAGAAAAAAGGAAGCAAGGTAAATTGGCGAAGTTTATGAAAAAGGAACATCAAGCGTGTATACGCATTCATGACAGAGTGAATCAAGCTTCGGGATTGTATTTCTCTTTGTTTATTCGTCCTCTTTCACACTCTTTTACGTTCTTTTTTTCTGTCGAATGCAGAATGGAACAGAAAGTATGTGCCAATAGAACAGGTCGTTACTCGGTCGGACGGATTTGGACTACGTGTATAGAGCAGAGTGACAACGACAAAATTCCGTTTGCTGGTAACCCATATAGCAGTCAGGAAGATCACAAAGAGCTTATTGCCGTTATACAGAATAGCGTATATACACATATGTGTCAAGTTTTCTATGATCAGAAGAACTGCGAGCTTGATCAATTTTCCCTGCATTTTTCACACATACTTGAATTATCAGCATTTCATTGCCATAATGTGTCATAATGGTATAAATAAAATTGGTTTTTTTATTTGTAAAATAGATATGTTATGAAATGACATGAAATTGTAAACGAATTCATTTTTTAGTTTTTTTAATTTTTGCCGATTTGGTGTTGAAAGCAGTTTTTCATTACTAACCTTTTGAATCGTTTAATCTTCAGCTAGATGAATATCAATGGACATAACTTCTTCCACTAATTCAAGCTTTTATCTTTTCACCTTTTTTAATATTTTATATTCCGTTTGTTTTTACTTCCTACGAGCATTAGCAGAAAAAATTATAACAACTCGATAAAGATAAAAGATAAGTAAAATAAACACTTACAAGTAAATTGAACAAATTATAAAATAGTAAAATATAAATTAAATTATCAAATTTTAATATAAATTTTTTATGAAAAATAACCTTTTATGGTTAAAATTTATTAAAAGATTTCTATTTATATATATTCTGTTTTGTATATTGGTCTGTTTTACAAAAAATAAAAATAAAAATATCGATATCGTTACAATTACTTCTATATGCACATTTATTACGTTACTTCTATAATCCATTATCTATCGTTATTAATACTATTAATAATACTATCGAATATTGCTAATATGTTCACATTACATGCATAAGTGACTAATTATTCAGGCGAGTATATGCATCGATCATTAAACTGTCACAAAGTTGATTATATAGAGTGTCCTAGACCTTTGACCGCAGCATTTAGCCAACGCTTACAATTCGATGTCTCGGTTATTCGGCTGTCACTATTTAACCCTCAGCTCACAAAAGCATCGATGATCTTCTTTTTCTTCCGCAGCTTTGAAGATGTCTTTCCAGCTCTTTTTTATATATAGTGTTTAAATCCAAATTGGCTTTCGCTTCAACGTCTTCTTATGCTGTTTTCCACGCTACGATACGACTTGTTAGTTTCCAAAGTTTTTTTTAGCATTTGCATAATTTAGTAAGGTTTGCGCCACGTGCAATGTAGACCACGCCCACTTTTTATTCCGCAATCATCAATTCTGCGGAGAAGCACTTTATTCATACAATAGAAACAAATATAGCACGTGAAGTTTAATTACAAAATGTTTATATAAAAACAAAAAGAAAAAAAGTTATCGAATATATTAAAATATTTTCAGTTTATTTAACGATAGACTTTCTTGTCTCTTAAAAAATTTGAAATTGATTAGAAATTCTTATTATCAATAAATAAGTAATCAATAAATAAGTAATCAATAGATAATACACGAAGAAAAATGATTTTCCTATGAACGCAAAAGGATTGCAAAATTTAATTGTCAGTTTGCTGTTTATAGCAAATAAATTTGCATATTTGACATAAATTTGCATATTTGACAAATATTTTGTATTTATTGCAAATAATTTTTGCAGCGAATACAAAAAAATAAATATTTGTTACACCTGCAAATAATTTGCGATCCTTATATTATATTTGCAAATGGAATTGACCGTTGTGACATAGGATTAATGTTCATAACAAATTTTTTCTCTCTGTGTATAATTATACAATGCGTATAATCAATAAATGTAACATAAATAATATATTTTTTAATATTATTTTTTCATATTTAAAATCCGTTTTGATCAAATAAAACTTATCTTTGCTTATTTGTGTTATTTATATATCGGTCGATTTTCAACGGAAGATTTTTATGCGTTTACAAGGATACCAAATAAGACAGAGATTTCCAAGAATGTAATGGCATATTAAACCGTGTGTCGATATTAATACCTGGTGCCCTTGTATCAGGGTTGATTTCGTTTCCGCTCTTATGAGAACCGTTTTCGTAAGTGCCCGAAGGCAAAAATCCAGAGGAGTCATGACAAAATCATGAAATCTTTTGGCAACGAATAACTATTCATGAACGCGGAATCCTCGTTAGAATGAGGAATACCGTCTCGTTTCGTGAGCTTATACCGGAAGTGGATTTTAACGGAAGCTGAAAACTTACGAAGCCGGTTACATAGCGACCCTTGTAATCTTCGAAGAGACACCATAACGAAGTATCGAATAAAATCAAAGTATACTAGTAAATCAAATTAGTAGACTTTATACATTTATAAAAGTACCATCTATTAATGGGGAAAATTATTATTGTTTTACTTGTATAAATTGTCTCCAAGTGAAGTAAGTAAAGG